GCCCCATCTAGCTCTGGATTATCCCTTAATGATATTTTATATCGAGGTCCCAAGGTTCAGCCAGACCTATTGGATATTCTATTAAGATTCAGAATGTATTCTATAGTCATATCGGCTGACATTGCTAAGATGTACAGGCAAGTACTTATACACCCTGAGGATCGCTCGTTACAAAGAATTTGGTACAGAGAAACTCCGGCACAGTCGTTAAAGTAATTTGAGTTGCGTACAGTCACTTACGGTACAAAGGCTGCATCCTTTCTTTCTATACGGTGTCTGTTGCAGTTGGCCACTGAAGTTGAAGATCCAGATCTAAAACGTGTCATATCTAGCGACTTCTACGTCGATGATTTGCTTACCGGTTGTGACACTGTGGATGCATGTTACTCACTTTATGAAAATATTAATTTAGTCTTGGAATCAGCTGGATTTCCGCTTCGGAAGTGGTGTTCCAATTCAAGTTCATTAATGTCTCGAATTCCTACAGATACGGATGATGCTACATATCGGTTATCTTTAACGGATCAAGACACGGTTAATACACTCGGTTTAACTTGGCAGCCCAGCACAGATACTTTTCACTTTTCCCTTGGGCATTGGAATCCGCCAACACACATGACAAAACGTTCCCTTCTGTCTGATATTAATCGTATATTTGATCCCATTGGACTCATCACTCCTATATTAATAAAAGGCAAGATTTTCTTGCAGCAATTATGGTTGTTAAAATTAAGCTGGGATTCAATGCTGTCAGCAGATCTACAAGCACGTTGGATTAATTTTTATTCCAGTCTTAAATCGTTGGACAAGTTGTCTATTTCTCGGAAGGTCATAATCGATGGTGAATCTACTATTACATTGCATGGGTTCTGCGACGCCTCACAAGCAGCATATGGCGCTTGCGTCTACATTCGAAATCAATCTTATGATGGTTCTACCAATGTCAATTTATTAATGTCTAAATCCAAGGTGGCTCCCATGTGCACAACTACCATTCCACGACTTGAGCTGTGTGGTGCTCTCCTTTTATCAGAACTCATCGTTGAAATTCAAGCAGAACTGTCAGCCATAAATGTTAAATTTAATTCATCGGACATAGTGTTGTGGACAGATTCCTCAGTGGTGCTTGGATGGATTCGATCAGCTGTTCAACTAAAGTCGTTTGTTGCTAATCGAATATCACAAATTTTGGAGAATACTGAGGCCAAAATGTGGCGTCATGTTCCCACCTCTAGTAACCCAGCAGACTTGATAACTAGGGGGACCAACGCAAGCACTTTAGCTGATCCTAATCATATCTGGTGGATTGGACCAAGTTGGATAGTAAATACAGAGGATTCCTGGCCGGCTGAAATACCTCTTCAAGAAGATCTTCCAGAGATACGTCCAATTAAATTATCACTGGTGGTTACACATGTTGATGCAAATTTTATTATTGATCGCTGTTCAAACTGGAGGAAGTTAATGCATGTAACTGGGTATGTGTTACGATTTTTGTTCAATTGCAAAATACCCAAGTGTAGAAAAGATGATCGTCGGCTTGGTTCATTAAGTGTTTGCTGAACTTGATGAATGCCAGTTATTTTGGCTACTTCGATCTCAAACACAAGATTTTGGCTCGGAAATAAGTTCACTGACACTTGGAAAAGAAGTTAATCGTCGAAGTTGTCTTAAATCACTAAATCCATTTCTTGATGGTCATAATTTAATACGTGTGGGAGGCAGATTGGCTTATGCTCCAATACCTTAAAATCAAAGGTGTCCAATTGTTCTGTCATCGAAAAATCCAATTGTCAAAATGTTGTTTCAACATGAACACATTCGACTACTTCACATCGGTCCTCAAGGACTCTTAGCTCATATCCATAGGAAATACTGGCCTATAAATGTATAATTTGTTTTCGGTCTAATCCACAGATGCTCCAACCTGTCATGGCTCCCTTGCCTTCAGTTCGTGTTACCAGATGTCGGGCATTTGAAAATGCTGGTGTTGACTTGTGCGGGCCTATCAACATTCGTAGTGGATTGAGGAAGGTCACGCCATTAAAACATTATATAGCCACCTTTGTGTGCATGGTTACGCGTGCAATACATTTGGAGCTTGTTCGAGACCTGTCTTCAGATGCGTTCATTTCTGCATTATTCCGGTTTATCGCCCGTCGAGGTCAGTGTTTAAAGTTATATAGCGACAATGGCACTAACTTCATTGGCGCAAAGAAGATACTTTTGTCGTGGGCATCTAACTTAACTAAAGAGAGCAAATTCAATGATCAGCTGTCTGAATTGGGCATTGAATGGCAGTTTATTCCTCCGTCAGCCCCGCATTTTGGCGGACTGTGGGAGTCTGCAGTTAAATCGGCGAAACAACATCTTGTTAAATCTAGTAACGGTGCTCTTTTAACTTATGAGGAAACGAGTACATTGTTGTGTAGAATTGAAGCAGTCCTCAACTCTAGACCTCTCACTGCAACGTCTTCTGATCCTTCTGACTTCAACGTTCTGACTCCAGGGCACTTCCTAATTGGATGTCCATTGACTTCTCCACCTGAACCCAATGTATTGAATGTTCCTGAAAATCGGCTCAGAAAATTCCAATTGATACAAGCTCGTGTACAATACTTCTGGAAAAGATGGTCTTCAGAGTATTTGCCACAGTTGCAGCGCCGTGGTCGTTGGACCTCAAATTCTGAGAATATATCAGTCGGTGATCTGGCTATACTGAAGCAGGATAACATCCCACCATTTCAATGGCAGATGGTTCGAGTAGTTAAGGTTTGTCCGGGTGCCGATGGTGTTGTTAGGGTAGTTACAGTTCGGAATGCGGTTGGTGCAGAGTATGTTCGACCTGTACGGAAGTTAGCTCGGCTTCCCAATCAAGATGAAGATGGAGAAGATGCAGACTATTAGTCATCAACGCCCACTATATTGTTACATATTGATTAACTATTATTTATGCTATTGAGTTATTTACTCAATTCTTATTTTTTTTTTTTTTTTGGCACATTTGTATATATTGTCATTGAATATTCATTTAATTTTTAAGCTCTCTACTTGAGTTATTCTGTTTATTTGTCG